GCTAAAACATCGCCAACGTATCTTTTGAAAACCCTTGGAAAAGGAGCTGGGTTCGTGTCTGAAGCCAAATCTTCAAAGTTCTCCATGAAACTTTCGGTTACGTCCTTGACATGAATTATGTCAAAGTAGGTGACATCGTATCAGTGAATGAAGAGTACGTTGAAAGGTGGTCAGAGCTTAGCAAATCATGCCATAATAATGAGATTGATCTGATTATATTTCTGTACCTGAGAAATATCTGCTTTGTATGTCATGGAACTGAATGCGGGGGGCGTGTCGTCGACGTCGGCAACTTTGACCAGCAAATCAGTGGTTGTCGATTTGACGTTGAACGGATTGAAAATACTGTCCTGCAAGAAAAACTTCCACCGTCAGATGAACCCAGCAGGGTGTCGCAATGAAGCAGTTACCTTCGCCGTAATGTACAAAGTATAACTCCTCCTGCTGTACTCAAAGTCAAGTTCCTTCAGCAGCCTCAAGTACACCACTTTCGGCAGAGATGAGTTCTTCCACTCCTCAGCCCGTATACCTGTCCAAGTCCGCAGTTGACTCGGTGTATAGTGTTCGTCCCAAGGCACCTCCAGACGAAACGTGTGGTCAGATCTGACCTGCTGAATCTAGCGCATTATATGCATCGACAAGGAAAGCCATACCTGTAGATCGAATGTCACACCGTAAGCTGGTGCTGGATCCCAATCCACACAGATCACCGGGGTCCGTATCATAGAGTTAACTGCAGTATCCTGTCAGAAATTAAGATTTGTAATACCACAGCTAGCGATAAGAAATTCAGAGTTACACGGCGTAGTCGCACCTCTTTACAATCATTCAGGCAGGCAGAACTCCGTTCAACGGCATTATAACTCCTTCCATTTGTGAACATGTTACTGTTTTGCCAAACACCGTGACACGGTTTGGTGTGCATCTACGCAGGGGCAGTCATTCCGTGGCGAAGTGGCCTGATTTTAAAGATTCTTTAGGGGGCTGGATCAAACGAATGGTGCAACTACCCCTTTGTAATCTGGAGAAGTGATGATTGGTTATTATTCCTACCGGCGGTATCGAAAACCAGCAACTTGCTAGTAATGCGAGATACTTTTCAAAACCAGAGTTATTGAACTTTTTCTTTCGCGTACTTACTACCCCCTCCCACCTCACATGCTGTGTAGGCATCTATAGCTCTATGAATAAACTTTTGAAATCCAGTAATTTTAGTCC